TTAATTAATAAATTAAATATTAATTAATAATATTAATTAAAATTAAATTGATTTGTTTATTTATTAAAAATTAGTCTTTATTTCAAAAGTACAAGTATTTTATTATTATGGAAATTTATTTGACCTTTATTGTAAGTATTTTAAATTTTAGCGCAAAATTTTATTTTAAAAACAATAACAGGTAACGAAACAAAAGCTTTGTTGAACAAATATTTTAATTTTAAACTTTTATAGTTGAGAAGACGAAAGTTTCGTTGACAAACGAAAATTTTGTTGTGTCAGCTAACGTGGTGTGTTTGCACAAATATCAATCAAATGTTTTGTATAGTCAAAGACAAATATTTTTCTGCACTTGCTTCAAAATTTACTTTAAAATAAAAAAAAGTAAATTTAAAACGAATTTAAAATAAATTTTCAATAATTTTTCAATCTATCTGAAAAATTAATCATTTAAATATTCTTAAATCTTTTTCGCATTTTAATTTTTTTCTATTTTTATTTCACTTATTCATTCCCAATTGTACTTCTTTCATTTTCTCTTTTTCTATTTGCATTATTATATATTTTCCACTAGATTTTCCTAAAGTTTTGAATATTCAAATAAGGGAAATTTATTTTCTGATAAAATATTTTTAAAAATTCCTATCCAGAAAAGAAAAATAATAAAAATCAGACATTTACTTAGTTGAGAATTTTTGTAAAAAATATAAATTATTTTATTTATTATATAATGTTTCATTTTTTAAACAATAATATTAAATAATGATTTCTTGAAACTTTTACGATGTCTTTGAACGGATTTAAATAGTTAATTAAAGATGTTCAACAACGCTCAATAAAAATCTTTAATAAACTATTAAAACAGTTCAAAGGACTCGTAAAAATTATGAATCAGTATAAAAAAACAGAAATAAAATAATAAATTTTTAAACTATTTACTAATATTTATTAATTTTCCATTATTAAAATAATGAAAATATTAAAGGATAAATAAAAAGAAATTAATTAACGATTATCAAACGAATATCAAAATAATTTTTCAGTTAATTAAATTTTATTTCTTCCAAAAAAGTAATTGTTTGTTTTTAACTTTAGTTGTTTAATAATTGAATTTTTATTTTTAAAAATAATCTGATTCAAGTAAATTTGCGCACTTAACAGTAGCCAAGTAATCGATTATTTGAATCAAATAAATTTCATCCCTAACGTATATTGAATTTCAATTTAAAAAAATTTTCTCTCTCCGAGAGTTAGAAACGAAGATATAAAAAGATATAAAAAATATAAAACAGTAGAAAAAAATATAAAAATAGAGAAAAATATAAAAAAAAGAAAAAAAATATAAAAATAGAGAAAAATATAAAATGAAAGAAAAAAAAATAAAAAAGCATAAAGAAATGTTAAAAAGATATGTAAAAATATAAAAAATACGTAAAATAAATAAAAAAATGTGTTAAAAATAAAAAATGTATAAAAAATATATAAAATACAAAAAATTTAAAAACATAAGAACAGAAAATACAAAAAGTATATAGAAAATACCAAAAATATAAAAAATATAGAAAATACAAAAATATAAAGAATATTAAAATATGAAAAATGCAAAATACTTAAAAATGGACATAAAAGTAAAAAGGACATAAAAAGGTAAAATATACGAAAAAACAAAAGACAAAAAATACATAATTGTGTTAAAAATGAAAAATTATGTATAATTTGTAAGCTAGCGAATATGATCAAGATAAAGTTAGAAGGTTGATCGATTGGTAAAAAGGTATTTAAATTTTCCACATTGCGAGAAACAATATTATAATAGAGAAGGGAAAGTAGATTGTTGCCTTCGAAGTTTTCTAGGAAGTTATTAACCCCTGGGAAGGTCAGAATCATTTAAGTCACCGCGTATTGGCCGAAATTAGCGAAAAAAAATTTTCTTCTCTCTCTCTCTCTCTCTCCCTTTGCTCTCTTTGCTCTCTCTCTCACACTGAGAGTATATCGACACATTGCTTTTTTCGTTTATTAACTGCATCTTTACTACTTCCTACATCGATAGTTATAAAACTCGAATATAACAAAACACAGAAGTATTACTTGCGCGCGTTGAAAACTTGAATCATTTTTGAGTTGTGCTTGGTAGTGAGAATATCTGTCGAGTTGAGGATACGGTGATTATTACTAGTTATGATATGTTACAATGCAGCAAGTGTATCTGAACAGTAATGCTTCGTTTCTTTTACGAAGCGAAAGGGCAATTCGTAAGTGGTTAGCTTCTCTTTTTTTTTGTCGTTCAGATTTTGAATATGTAAACATGTGCCCAGCATATATATTGTATTAATTACGCCAAACGGAATTTTATCTAATTTGTTTATTTAAAAATTTACCCTTTCGTACTAAGGTACGCGAAAATTAAATTCATTTAATTTACAAAACCAGAGAAAATTTTCTTTATACCAAATATAATTTATTTGAGTTAAATAAAAGTATGTTTGTCTCAGAGCCAAGTAGGTTATTTATTTGTTTTGAATAAAAATCTTATTCGACTTAAATAAAACTTTTATTTGAACCAAATAAAATTTATTTGAAACAAATAAAAAGTCAAGTTGGTTCTGAGTCAAATATAAAAATTTTTATTATTTATGAAAATAATTGACTGTTAGAAAAGAGTTTTATGAAAGTTTTGTTTAATTATTAAATTCTTTTGGAGAAGTTTTTATTATAATAGTAGATATTAAAAATAATTGAATTTCGAAAAATTTGTAAAAATAATTGAATGGTTTGAAAGAATTTTATTAAATTTTTTAAAATTTTTCCAAGAATTTTATAAAAATTTTTGAAAATAATTTTTTTTATTTCAACTTTTAGCGAATTTAAAACAGTAAATTAAAGGTTTGAGTAGATGAGTGTGAAGTCTGGAAATAGTAAATTTTACTAATAAATTAGTAGAAATTACTATTTTTTAGTAAAATTTACTAATTCAACAGCAAAAAGTCAGTTATTAATTCAAATTAGTAAACATTTTCCTAATTCAAATTCAGAGAGTAACTTATCTAATTTCTTCAAATTATTTGTTTTATTAATAATTAATTATTTCAATAATTTACTTTATCCAATTAAAAAAAAACTAATATCGGAAATTTTAAATAAATCTCAAAACAGATTTTTCAACAATTTTATCAAATTGAAAATATTAATTCTAGGGCAAATAATATCGAGAATGAAGGACACGATTTATAAAAACTAAAATATGTATCAGCTGTCTGGAGATGAATTAATAAAAATAAAAATTGTTTTTTTAAGTAATCTTCTTAAATAAAGAATATCACTGATATCTTTGACTGAATCTCGTTTAATCAAAAGGACAAGAGAGTAATTTTTTTTTCTTTTCGAATTTCAAAGATTTTCATCAATGATTGATGACTGATGGTATCAATAATTGGTCATTGTATTTTTACTTCTCTCTTTAAAAAAAAAAAGTGTCAAAATGAAAAACTCAAGAAAGAAAATTAGTGTCATTAAATTCATATTTTGTGTTTCTTAAACGATAAAAGAAGAAAATAGTAAAAAATTGTAAATGTGAAAAAGTAAATAAATATAATCGTGTAAATGAAAAAAAGTAAATAAAATATAAAATGTGTGCCGGTATCAATTGCCAACAACTTCACTGTGTGCAGAAAAACTGCACAAGGGAAAACTGCATAAGAAAAAAAATTTTTTAAATAAAATTATTAAATTTATTTCAAAAACAAAATAAATTTAAAACTGCATACCATAAAACTGCACACGATTTAAAATTACAAAATTAAAGAAAATAATTAATTTGAACTGCATACAAGCAAATTTAAAAAATAAAATTATTGTCTTTAATTCAAAAACTGAACAAAATTATGATCCTAAAGTTCTGAACGTTCAAATGAACGAAATTGATTTATATCTTCTTTAAATTCCATTTTGATTACAATCATTTTGAGTCACTATTAAAAAAATTAATTTTTAAAGTTTTTAAACGTAGAATCTAAGTTTTAAATTTTTATTCGAATCAGTAATTTATGAAAATATTTTTAATATAAAATATTTCGTTCATTTGAACGTTCAAAACTTATGGATCATACAAAATTAAACTGCATACGAGAAAACTACAAACAATTCAAAATTAATACAAATTTTTATTAAAAAAAAAATATAATTAATTTGAACTGCATATGAGCAGTTTTATTTTATTTTTTTATTAAAAATAAAAATAAGCTTAGGTTAAATTTTTCCGCATATTTTTTATGAAAATTTGTAACTTTTAATCGTGTTTTCTAGTATGCAATTTAAATTTGTTCAGTTTTCGAATTAAATTAAATAAGTTTATTTTAAAAATTTGCTTTTATGCATTTTTTCTGTATGCAGTTCATTGCATACAGTTTTCCTGAATCCAGTTAAAATGCCGGCAATTGTAACCGCCCCCAAAAAATAAATAAATATAAAAGAAAAATATAAGAAATTAAAATAAATATAGAAGAAAATTTATAAAAAAGAAAATAAATTAAAAGGTGATTATGAAAAAGTAAATAAATTAAAAACTGCAAAGTGATTATGAACAAGTAAATAAATTAAAAGGTGATTAGGTATAAAAAATTAAATAAATTAAAAAGTGATGATAAAAAAGTAAATAAATTAAAAAGTGCTTATGAAAAAGTAAATAAATTAAAAAGTGCTTATAAAAAAGTAAATTAATTAAAAAGTGCTTATGAAAAAGTAAATAAATTAAAAAGTGATTGTAAAAAAGTAAATTAATTAAAAAGTGCTTATGAAAAAGTAAATAAATTAAAAAGTGATTGTAAAAAGTAAAGAAATTAAAAAGTCAATAGTACAGAAAATAGTAAATATAAAAAAGTGACCAAGAAAATAAAGAAGCAAGAAAGAACCCCCCCAGGAAGAGAAAGAGATTATTTTCTCTTGAATTATATAATAGTTAAAGATTAAAAGACGCTGAATTAAATAAAATTTTTTTCACGCAGGTGCCAATTGCACTCAACCGGCAATCGAAGACTTTCCGCATGATATCTTCGACGAGAAGCAACGGCAAAGCGGAGCCGTCATTGTTCATGTCATCGTTTCTCTTTACCTCTTTATAGCATTAGCAGTAGTATGTGATAAGTTTTTCGTACCTGCCGTAGAAAAAATATGCCACGGTAAGAGAATTTCAATTTTTTATTTTCAAACTTTTGACTCACAATATTATCACTAATTTTTAATTTAACAAAACTTTTTAATAAAAATTAACTTTTAATTAAAATTTCTGGATTCAAATTTTTGCATTAAAACAATTTAACAGAACTGTTTAACAAAAATTAAATTTTTATTCAAATTTGCTGGATTCAAATCTTTGCATTAAAACAATTCAGTTTAAAAAACAACTTCTTTTTAGTTAAAAAATTCATGTCCCTCTTTTTTTTATGCATAAATTTTTGCAGCACTTTCGATGTCGAAAGACGTGGCCGGTGCAACGTTTATGGCGGCAGCGACGTCAGCACCTGAATTATTCGTCAACGCCATTGGAACCTTTATCACAGAAGGTGATATTGGCGTTGGAACGATAGTAGGATCTGCGGTATTTAATATCTTAGCAGTTCCAGCTTGCTGCGGAATTGGTGCTGGAATGGTTAGTAAATTTGTTTCATTCCTTTTCGTACATCGAAGTACATTTTTGAAAAAATTATTCAAATTTACTTGCAGACTAGCAAAATTCACTTTGAAAATAGTAGAAAAATTATAACCGGTTCTTTGACCATGATCCTCAATTTTTTAATTTCTACCAGAAAAACAGTTTTCCTCATTTGTACATTCAAAACTATTAATAGAAATGGAAAAATTACAATAAAGAATTATTAAAGTTTAATAAAGAAAATGATACTCGAAAAAAATGAATCAACATCACCGAAAAAGAAACTTTGATAAAAAAGGATTTTCAACCCAATTCACAAATCCATAACTTTTCAATTATTAACGCCGATTCATAAATAACCGATTTACACCCTTTTCCTGTCATCAGCGGGATTTCAAAGATGAAAAAGAATTGTTCACAGTTCCGAAAATGGAAAGTCAATAGTTCATAAGCCGCTTGATTTTTATTTTTCTTTCTCTTATTTTCGTTAATTGTCCTTGAACCCAGAGCTTTTAAAAATCCTGATTTTATATAATAATATAAGGATATTATTACTGTAACTCCTTCAAAATTATTTTCATCATTTCAATTCAATTATTATTTTCTACAATTCTTAAATAAAATTCATCTTTAAATCAAATTATTTTTATAAAATTTTTAATAAAGTTCTGTTGAGAATTTTCAAATTCATTTGTTTACAATTTAATTTTACGAAATTTCAATTTATCGGAAATTCTTCAATTAAATATATACATTTGAAAATAAAAACTTGAAATAATTTTTAAAAATTTCGATTAAGCTTTTTAAAAAATATTAGTTGCACAGTATTTTTAATTAAATGTATAGAAAATTCAAATTTTCAAAGATTTTAATTTGAAACTTTTACAAAATTTAATTATTTCTAAAAAAAAAAATTGCAATTATTAGTAACTTCCCCAAAATTCAATTATTATCTAAAACTTTTACCTGAAATTAATTTTTAAATCAATTTTTATTAGAAAATTCTACGAGAATTGAATTATTTGAATAAAAACAGATAATTTATTGAATAATTGAATATTTCTTAAAATTGAAATCATATACATAATTTTATCATAACAAATTAAAAAAATTGAATTCTTTCGACGAATTGTAATAACATTTTTAAGAATAATTATATTTTTCGAGGAATTCGATTAAAATTGTATTAAAAAGTAATTGAAATTCTATCAAAATTGCTTTTAAAGTTTTAAATAATTGAATTCTTTTGGGAAATTTTATTAAAATGATAGATATTCAAATTATTGAATTAAGAAAATTGCATTAATTTTGAAATTAATTGAATTTTGCAATAAATTTTCTTAAAGTTCAAAAAATAATTTAATTTTGTCGAGAAAAATTTTGCTATTCATTTATATATAAAGATAATTAAAATGTTGACTGCAATTTTTTATGATTTTTTGGAAGTAATTGAATTTCTGCGAAGAATTTTATTAATTTTGAAAATAATTGAATTCTTGTGATGAATAAATTGTTATCTATGAAAGTAATTGAATTTTATAATGAATTTTATTAAAATTCCTGAATAAAATTAAAGTTTGTCGAAGAATTTTGATATTTATAAAGATAATTGAAATGATGACGAGTATCGTTTTTTTAATTTTTGAAAATAATTGAATTTCTGGAAAGAATTTTAATATTTATTAAGATTGCGTTAAAGTAAATTATTGTCAGAAATAGAAAAAATTTAATGTTTTTTTTAGAATTCGTGGTAATTTCATAATTTATAAATCAGACACAAAAATTGAGAATATTGTTATAACTTCTAAACATTTAAGTTTTTTTCCAGTACTTTTAATAAAATTCCCTGATTTTTTCTTGATTTCCCTGACCAATTCTACTTTTCCTGACTATTTTCTGAATTTACTGATTTCCCTGACCTGTGGCAACCCTTTATTTAATAATATATATTGGTTTTCTTATAATTTTTTGTTTTTGAATTCAAAACTTTAAACAAGAGTACTAGTAGAAGGATAAAGAATTTAATTTCCAACAATTTAAAGAAAAGTTGCATTTGAATAAAAATGAGAAATATTTGTTGAGTATTAGGTTGTAGGTTACTTAGATGGTTTCTTATTGATAGGAAATTGTAATTGTAATTTTTTATTCAGGTGCAACTTTTAATTGTTTAAAATGTTGAAAATTTAATTCTTTATGCTTCTTCCACTAAATCGAATTTAAAATTTATTAATTTATCGTTTTCATATATAAAATACGAAATCATGACATTGGACTAAATATTTTATTATGAAACTGAAGTTACCAATGTTTTCGTTAACCTTAATTCTACTACAAAAAATTATTTATCTTTGGCCATTAGAGATTTATGTTTAGCTATTTAAGATTTATATTTAGCTGTTAGAGATTAAGCTTCAGATATTTAAGATTCATCTTAAGCTATTAAAGATTTATAATTAGCTATCAAAGATTTGTCTTTAACTTTGATCCTTTTTTTGTCTCGATTTGACATGCTTTGAAAAATTATGCTACGAAAAATTATTTATCTTTAGATTCTTTCAGATTCTTTGTTGGATTCTTCCTAGAGTCAAAGTTGACTAAAAAACCTATTTTTAAGTGAAAATTTAATTCAAATCATAATTAAAATAAAAACATGTTTTTGATTTAAATCCTGATGTAAATCAAGTTGATTAAAATCATAACAACCCTAAATTGAACCCTTCTCCACCATTCTCTTAATTTTACAAGATATATCATTGCTGCATTAATTTTCTGCAACATCACTATTCTATTAATTATTTGTCACTAGTTATGCCATTAATTTCTTGTCTCTAAGTCATTTTATTAATTTCTCGTCTCTAGTTTTATCATCATACACAATGTGCTAATTGTATTTTGTTTTGCAGGTGGTACCACTTGATTGGTGGCCCGTTAGCAGAGACTGTCTAGCATACGGTGTAACCGTGGCAATTTTAATTTGCATCATACACGACGAGAGGGTTGAATGGTATGAAGCATTGACACTCGTTCTGCTTTATATCGTTTACATTGCCGTCATGTACTGGGATAAATCATTCCAAAAATGCGCGCGATTTGGCGCAAAAAAAGGCGAATTACCTCCAGATGAATCTCACGTGAGAACAGGTAATTCATTTTTAAACCTACCTTATCAATTTTTAAACCTATCTTATTAATTTTTAAACCAATCTTTAAAAAAATTCCTTACAAAATTTAAAAACACTGTTTAGAAGAATTCAGAAACACAATATAAAACACTAACATCTGTAGTTTTAACTTTTGAATCCAATTCGTTCGCCTTTCAATTTTCAGTATCAAAAACAAAATTCAATTTCCTCCAATAAGTAAATGTAATACGAAAACTAAAAATTTAGACATGTTCTCAATTCCACAAGTCGAGAAGGGTGGAGGTCACGGGGAGTGAAGAGCTTCCATAAGTAAAATTGATTTCAACGAACGTGAACTGATACAAAGATCAATGTATCGTACGTGATCTCTTATAATCGATGTCAATGATTATTAAATGAAGAGTATGGCTGGAATCACGTACTAAAAAACGTCACGATACTGACTAATGAACCATTATTTACATTTTGCAAACATTATCCGTTTTCCAATTCTTATTTTTTTTTGTATTAACATCTACTGCATCACTATTAACTTAAAATTGTCAAATTGCAACAAAATATCAAAAATCTGGATCAAATAAAAATTTGGAACAAATTTTTTCTTTCGATTTGATTCAATTTGGTACCAATTTAATACTTTCAAGAAAAACTACAGTAAAACACAAAAAAATCCATTTTTATTTGTTTTTCGGAAAATAAATTGCATTTCCTTCTGATATTTGAAAACTCAGATTCAATCAGATAATTTATGAATAAACTTGAATATTAGATAACTCGTTGCATCGATATACAGTGTACGGATTGTACTATTCACAAGTGCACACATTCACGGTCAAGAGGTGTTTATTTACAAAAAGAATTTGAACAATTTCTGAAAAAAAATTTTTGTCGCGTCGCGCGTAAAATTATTTAATCAAAGTGCGAAGAAAAATGATAATCAGTACATATCAATATTGACATTTTTGATTCACAGCTGACGCTGGAGATATTCACTTATCAAGATCCGATAAGGTGCAATCATCAACAGATCGCGTGGAGCAAATTGCAACAATAGATGTGCCTTTGCAAAATGGTGGCACCAAAACACAGGAGGAAAATCACGAGCCTGGTGAGCTTTTCGCATAATTAAAAAAAAATTATTAAATAGTTAAGTACCTAATTTAAAATAGTACATTGTACACCATTAGGTGTACAATTTTTATCTTTTTTAGAAAAGATAAAAATTGTGGGCGTTTCCGAAAATTCATATTATTTCTTTCCTATTCTGTATCACTGAATAAATACTTCATTTTGAAGTTTAACGTGGTCTTCATGAAGATTTTTGACTTTAGATTTTGGAAAAAAGCCTGTTTCACAGTTCATGAAAATTTCGTAGGGGGTCCGAAGATTTTAATTTTTTTATTCTGTATCATTCAATAAACAATCTATTAATATATCATTTTTTTCACTTCTTTTTTATTGAAAATTCAATGTTTAGTATTTTTCGGTCATAATACATTCATACTATAACGGATGATTTTTGAAGTGTTGCGTTTGGAATTTTTATAGATAACTGAAATTATTTCTGTTAAATATTAAAAATGATTACGCTATTAATTTATTATAATTTATTAACAATGCAATGTGTTTAACCCCAATTTTTTTCTACGTATAGAGTTTAATAATATTTCAAATAAAAAATGAATATTTCAGTGTCTCGATCGTTATTTTGTTCTAAAAATGTGTTTCTATTTAAAAAATCAATTAACTTCTTTTGCTTGCATACTGAACACTACTGCTATAAGAAGCAAAAACAGAATTAAACATTTAGAACCATTGCAATTTATTTTTTTAAATATTTGATGCAATTTTTACCGACCAACAGTTCGTCATAAAATTGAGAACTTTTTCTTTGCGGTGTGGTAAAATTTACCACTCGGAAAAGTAACTTTCTTCGTTTTCTCCGTAAGTGGAAGTTTTCTGTCATTAATAATAGTTAGAAGTAATTTAAAAGTTGTGAAATCATTCGAAGGAGAGGTCGTTTTTAAGAGGTTGAAATTGATTTTTTTTCTTAGAATACGAATACGAATTGCTCGTTTGGCCGTCGCAAAGTGGATGGATTCGAAAGACTGCATGGATACTTACCTGGCCGATTCACTTGATATTCATGTGCACTATACCAGATTGCGAGAAGCCTCGATTTAAAAAATGGTTTCCGATTACTTTCCTTATGTGCATTGTCTGGATTGGTTCGTTAAGTTACGTGGTTGCATGGATGATTACAATTATCGGTAAATAATATTTATTTCATTACGGCTATTCTCTTTTTCTTTCTTTCATTCTTTGCTTCTTTTCCCTTTTTTGCTTCCTTTTTATCTTCTTTCTGTTTTCATTTCTACTTTGTTTTCTTTCTTCCTTTTTCTGATTTCTTTTTTGTTCTTTCTTTTTTCTTCCTCCTTTTTTTGCTCTTCTTCTTTTCTTCCTCTTTTTTTGTTCGTTCTCTTTTCTTTCTCCTTTTTACTTTTTGCCTCCAGACAAATCGATTAGTCTGTATATTCATGCTTTCTCAAAATTTTCTCCATAATGGTGATAGTCTCCAATAATTTTGTGTAAATTAATTTACAAATTGTGAATGTAAACCGAAAGTGAAATTTTTAACTTATTCTTTAGGAGATACATTGAAGATACCGGATTCTGTAATGGGTATCACATTCCTAGCGGCTGGAACCAGTGTACCAGAAGCTGTATCTAGTGTAATTGTTGCCAAACAAGGTATGTGGTCACATCATCATCACTCAATGATTGATAATACAGATATCAAAAGCAGCGCATTGCATTAATATTCCTCAACTGTCACAAGTAACCAATTGTCATTTGACAGAAAGCGTCTAACAGAAGAGTCAGTTCGACATACTATTACAAATATCCCTACTATCATTTTTGGAATCCTTTTATCCTTTCTTTATAGAATTATATTTGCTATTAGCTATTACAGATTTTTCTTTTAGATATTAAAGGTTTATCTTTAGCTATTAAAGATTTTTCTTAATCTACCAAAGATAAATCTTTAACAGTTACAGCTAAACATAAATCTCTAATAGCTAAAGAAAAATATTCTTTCGTAGCACAATTTTTCTAAGGACATCAAATTGAGACAACTTTATTATGTTTCTTGCCTCAATTCAATATCCTACAAACATACCAAAATTGTAACAACTTTGGTGTGTTTTTTGTCTTAATTTGATGTCCTTAGAAAAATCCTGAGTCTTCTTAAAACAAGTATAATGAATATTTTTAATAAATTTTCAGGTCACGGTTCCATGGGCATAAGTAATTCAATTGGTTCGAATACCTTTGACATTCTCCTCTGCTTGGGACTTCCTTGGCTGATAAAATCCTCCTTTTCGCCAACTCAACCAGGAAAACATTACATCAGTATAAATTCAGCGGGCCTTGAGTACAGTGCAATTTCCTTATTATCGACACTATTGCTACTGTACATTGCCTTCGCATCGAATAAATTTCAACTGGACCAAAAAGTAGGACGCATCTGCTTATGTATGTACGCGGTCTTCCTGATTTTGGCCTCTCTCATCGAGCTCAACGTATTCTTTAGGGTGAATTTACCCACTTGTCAGAGGACGGTCAAGTGAATCTTACAACGTTCCTCGGGTCACTTCAAATAGACCTCTCACTTGTTCCACACACGTTTTATCAAAATACTCTCCAACATTCATTCATCGAATTTACCACATTCGTGTATGCAAAGAGAGACCAAAACTCTTCGTTCTCGTCGATCTAGAACTCAAAATATTTTTTTTTCCCAATCATCTCCTTTTTATCAACGAACAATTTCTCGGTACTTTCACTCACAACAATTTTTTTTCTTTTGCTAACTAATTATCCATTTATAAAAAAAAACTATTGACCTAAAAATTAATGACCGAAATCAAAATTTCTCTCAAAGAAATTCTAAATCGAATTCTATTTTGTAAAAAATTTAAATTTCTAAGATTCGAAATTGATTTTTCACAATTAATTTAAAAAACTAAACTCAACATTCGTTGTGAGTGACATTATTTCGAGAATCAATTTCACGATACTGCAAGATAATTCATTTGAGAAAAATATTTTGTTTCATCAAGAAAATTGGTAAATTTGGTTACAAAGAGATTATTCAAAACAAAGTTAAATTCAAATCAAAATTTTTTTTAACAAAATTCGTTTTAATTAAAAAATTGTATTAACAAAATATTTTTCCCTTCGTTTAAGTTTAGACATTATGATTTTTCTTAAGTTATATATATTATTATTAAAGTTTATAAAAACAGGTCCTTATTCTATCTGCTCGTACTCGCATCGTGTAATCTTTCAATTTTAATTATAAAGCAAAAAAAATTAATTAATTTATTTTTTAATTCATGATTAGTTACATAATCAAGAGAGACTATATTCCCGTGTGTTAAATTTTCGAGAGTGGAGAACAGAATTTAGACCTCGAAAAAGATCACAGAAATCAGAGTTAAATAGTTAGCAAGCATCCATCAAGAGAGATGTGTTTAACGGTTCAGTAGTTACAGATCACTTCAGTCAGACATGAGCGGATCTCCATTCTAATTGCTACCTAAAATAACTCCCCGGAGAATTTAATTCCTAAAAGCGAATGAAAATCGGAAATAAAAAATTTTTTTTTTCTTCGTTTCTATTTTTTTGTAATTTACTTTCAACGTAACAAAATTATTTTATATTTTAGCATTCAGTGAACAATATAATTTCATTTATATTATTGAATTATTTCGTTGAAATTTTTTTTTTACATGAATTGGAAATAGAAAAAAATATTCGGTATTCTATTTTTGATGGATGCTTGATTTTACACAGTTTTACTCGAACTATATTATATAGTGAAATAATATTGAATGAATCTCAAAGGAATGAATCTCAACTATATATAAATATATTTTAGTTAAGTGCAAAGTTAAGATATTTTTAGATGTTTGTCTATTTCGGCTGATCAAAGTGTTCTGTATTATTTACTGCACATGTTAAACATCATTCGTCTTGCAAGATTTTGTTTTTTTTTAGGAAATATTATTAATTAATTAATTCTCAATTTGTAATATTTACGTGTATAATAGAAATTTCCAAATTTCAAGAAAACTTTTTTTTTTAAGTTTCCCCTCCTTTGTTCAATACTTTTAGTCAATGTATATTAAATTTTTAATTATTTTATGAAAAATAAAAAATACTATTTTGAACAAATTGAATGATTATTTTTAAGATCGTAAACATATTTTTAACTTCCGAATTATATTCTTTCCGAATAAATGAATGGAATTCAAAGCATAAAAAATTAACTTAAATTCCATTAAACCTATCTCTCTAAAATTGAATTAGTAAAAATATTATCTAATTTGAATTAGCGACTGATTTTTTGCTTTTGAGTTAGTAAATTTTACTAATAAATAGTAATTTCTACTAATTTATTAGCAAAAGTTACAAATTGAAAAGCAAAAAGTCAGTCACTATAATTCAAATTAGTGAATTAAAGAATTTAAACAAAAAACTGACACTGAATAATTAATCAGGATTGTCACAAAAATTTGATTTTGTTTCATTATCCAGACAAAATTTTGATTTCTTTTTAATTCTTATTAAACAAATTTCAAGCGACGTTCAATTATAAAAAAAAGGATCAATTTTAGGAAGAAAATATTTAATCAATAAGTTTAAGACTATCTTCCAATTTTAAAAATAAAATTTAGTTTTACTATGACGAACTTCCTTCCATTATTTTTTTTTTAAATTTCAATTAATTATTTTTAAATTAATCTGAGATTTCAATTATTTTAAAAATTTTCAATTACTTGTTTCTAAAATTCCAATTGTCTTTAAAAAATAAAATTTAAATATTTTAGAAACCTAACTTATCAAAATTTTAAATAAAATTATTTGAGTTAAATAAAAATATATTTTATTTTATACCTATATATTTTATTTTATTGAACAAAAGTTTTATTAGAAATAAATAAAACTTTTATTTGAAACAAATAAAATATTTAGTTGGTTCTCTTTCTTTAAGAAAGTTATTCTAGAATTTAATTGTTCTAAATAAATTTAATTATTATAGAAATAAATATCGAGGTATTATTTAAAAATTAATTATGATCGAAAAGGTTTTAATGAGAAAAATATCAAAGAGAATTGAAGGTTTCTAAGTTTTTCAAAAATAATTTTAAATACCAAAAAACAGAATTTTTGTAGTAATTTTAAAAATTCTGTTTCTTTTAATTGCTTGGAATAATTTTTTCCGAATTTTATGTGAAAAATAAAAAACACGTATTTTTTTATTCCTTTATTGAATGGAAATTGTGAAAGTTTTTTTTTAAATTCAACTTCTTCATAAGCCGAGGAGTTTTGAAAAACATTTTTCTCTAATATAGTTCTAGAAGATAGGAAAAAATTACTACATGAAATTAATTCTATTATTCTTCAATTTTTTAGATATTTAATAAAAAATAACGTATCTGCAATGAAAATATCTAAAAGATTGAAATTAATTCGAAAAAGGGGAGTTTTCTCAAAACCAAAGTAATCGATTTTGGAAATTTTTTTTTAATGAAGTCATTAATAATTTGGCATAAGTAACTGTTTAAAAATTAATAAGCACAACTCAGAAACTGTAAAAAACATTTGAACGCCAAAGAACACCACTTTTGCATTAAGGGTAAAAAAAAATTCTGAATTATTAGTGACTTAATTTAAAAATAAAATCGAAAATCAATCACCTCGGTTTTGAGAAAAAGTAATTTTTTCCATTATTTTAGTAAAAAAAAATTCGTATAGTACATTTTTTTTATCTCCTAGAACTATTAGAGAAAAGCGTGTTTTTAAAAGTCTTCGGCTTCTGAAGTAGTTGAATTTAAAAAAATCGTTCCATGGAAAATAATGTTCAATGAAAATTTCACCTGAAATGACCCTTAAGGTATAAAGTCGATTTTCAAATAATCAATTTTGCGCTCACACGTTAATTAATCGTATATATTTCACATTTTTAGTTAACCCATTTTTTTCAAATCACATATATTTTCTATTAATCGAAAAAAAGCGTACCGATTGCCTAATCAATAAACGATGCAAATAATGTTGCTCTCAACGAAAGAGGTGGGCATGCAAAATTGTTTGGGTCGTTGGAATTTAGTAAATTTGTGAAAAAAAACAGTAAACTTTTAGCTTGGCACATGACCAAATGGAAGTTTAGGCCAACGACGGAGTTATATTATCATGACACAAAGATATTTTCCAAATAAAGAGCAATTTTGAAATAAACACTAAATTTAATTCAATGCAACTAAATTTTACCGCATAGTTTGAAGAAAAGTCTTTTGTTAAAAAAACAATTTATACACTCAGAACCTACTTTCAAGTTAGTTGAGAGTCGTGAAACGACAAAATTTCCACTTTTTAATGCATTCATTCATCCGAACATTAAAAAAGAAAACGAGAATAGAGAAAGAGTGAAAAATAAAGAAGAAATAAAGCCAATTTCAAAACATAGCCAGTATAAATTTATTTCCTACTGCAAAAAGTTCTCAACATAAAAAGAAATTCTCTAAAAATGTTTGCATTTACAGGGCTTGAACCAGTGAAACTAAAAGTATTTAAAAATACGGACTTTACGGACCAAAAATGAAAAATTACGGACCATTTACTGATAAAAATATAAGCAGTCTGAGTCAAATAAAAGAAAATTTTACTTAAAACAACAAATTAAATTTTTCATAACTATAAAACATGAATATATCAATAACTCCGAGTCTTCGACTCGGAGTGATCGATTTCTTCATGTTTTATAATAATTAAATAATTTCAATTATTCGTCAATTCTTCAATTAAAACTATATTAGAAAACGAAAACTTAAAATAATAAAACAATTCAATTAAACTTTTTCAAAAAAATTAATTTCAAAATTCAATTATTTCTAAAATTTCACGCTATATTGATTGTAATAATCAATTAAAAGATCTAAAATTTTAACTGAAATTCTTATTTAAATTAATTTTTATTAGAAAACTCTACTAGAGAATTCAATTATTTAAATACAAAAATAAATAATTTATTGAATAATTCAATGTTTTTTAAAATTGAATTCTTTCGACGAATTTTATCAATAAATATTTTAAATAATTGAATTCTCTCCACGAATTTTAATAGGATTTTTAACCACTTCACTGGCGGGGCGTTCCAAATGGCGTTCCACGCGCCGAGGCCCAGACTGGCAAAAACACCGAAATGGCGTTCCTAATAAAACATTATTTTTAAAGAGTGTACACTACTTTTAACTTATACAAAGCAATATTTCTATAGTTTAGACATCATGGAACAAGATTATCACAATAAAAATTTCAGTTTTTGGGATTTTCAATGTTTTTTCAAACAATGAAATAGTCAATTTTTACCACTTTTCACCAAATGGCGTTCCACTTTTTTTCAATTTTTACACAGTAAAACTCATATTTTTTATTTAAAAAATATATTTACATACAAAACATTATAATATAATAATGTAATAAGTAAAAAATAAATATAAATAATTAATAAATAAAATTTAATAATTATTAATAATAACAAAAGTGGAACGCCATTTGTTAAAAATCGACTATTTCAACGTTCAAAGAAACATTGAAAATCTCAAAAACTGAAATTTTCATTGTGATAATCTTGTTCCCTGATGTCTAAACTATAGAAATATTGCTTTGTAGTAGTAAAAAGTAGTGTACACTCTTTAAAAATAAAGTTTTATTAGGAACGCCATTTCGGTGTTTTTGCCAGTCTGGGCCTCGGCGCGTGGAACGCCATTTGGAACGCCCCGCCAGTGAAGTGGTTAAGAATAATTGAATTCTTTGCAGGAATTCAATTAAAATTGTACTAAAAATAATTAAATTAAATGATTGCGAAGAAATTTATAAATTTGTAAATAATTGCATTTCTGTGAAATGTTTATTATTTTATGAAAATAATTAAAGGTTTGCGTAGAATATTATTAAATTTTTTTTTTAAATAATTGAATTCTTTTGCAAAATTTTATTCAAATAGTAGATATTAAAATCATTGAATTGAGGAAAATTTTTGAAAGCAATTGAAATTTTAAGAAGAATTTAATTATTTCTTAAAATAATTGAAATTTTCACGAGAATTTTTAAAAATTTTTTAACATAATTATAATTTTAAATAATTGAATTCTCTTCACGAATTTTAATAGGATTTTTAAGAATCATTATATTCTTTGCAGGAATTCAATTAAAATTGTACTGAAAATAATTGAATTTTTTTGGCGAAAAATTTTGCGATTTATAAAGATAATTGAAATGTTAACCAGAATTTTTAAAAATTTCTGTAAATAATTGAATTGCTGCGAAGAATATTATTACCTACTTTTCAGGATAACTGAATTCTTGTGATGAATTCTTTTGTCATTTTTTATGAAAATAATTGATTTTTGCAATGAATTTTATAAAAAATTCCTGAAAATAATTGAATTCCCAAGGAGAATAATTTTATTTCTTTTGAAAATAATTGAATTTTGCATTGAATTTTCTTAAAATTCCTGAAAATAATTGAATTTAAATGAAAAATTTTTTACCTTGGAAATAATTGACTTTTGCAATGAATTTTATTAAAATTCCTAAAAATAATTGAATTTCAACGAAAAATTTTATTACTTTGGAAATAATTGATTTTTGCAATTAATTTTATTAAAATTCCAAAAAATAATTGAATTCCCAAGAAGAATTTTATTTCTTTTGAAAATAATTGAATTTTGCATTGAATTTTCTTAAAATTCCTGAAAATAATTGAATTTAAACGAAAAATTTTATTACTTTGGAAATAATAAAATTGACTTTTGCAATGATTTATATTAAAATTCCTAAAAATAATTGAATTTAAACGAAAAATTTTATTACTTTGGAAATAATTGATTTTTGCAATTAATTTTATTAAAATTCCTGAAAATAATTGAATTCCCAAGAAGAATTTTATTTCTTTTGAACATAATTGAATTTTTGCGAAGAATTTTATTACTTTTGAAAATAATTGAATTTCTTCAATCATTTGTAACTTTTCCAAAATTCTATTGTTTTTAGTGTTTTTAACTAAAATTCTTCTACAAATC